TGGGTACGTTTAGTGCACTGGAACGCTTACGAGTAGACTGGGTAGGATTTTGACGAACAGACTGTGCCACAATGTTGATGTTTTCTTCAATACGAGTTGTCCTTGGTCGACCCCACCGCTGTTTATCTAACGTCGAACCAGACTCTTCGAACTTAGCAACCCAGTTCTTAATCGTTTGAGCTGTTGGACACTCTGTAAAATTGTGTAAATTGTGGTATTCTCGATATTTACGCCGCGCAATGGTTGCCGAATCATTATTTTGATCCGCTCCAGTGAAACACTCCATGGCGACTGAATTCCCAGACACTGAAGATACTGCCCCCACCTCGCTCGCGCCGCTCACGCTCACCCGTTAAATTTTATTCAAATTTGAAATTTCAAAGGACTTATGGACCACCCTGTATTTGTAGTTTCGTTATAGGCGACGGTGAAAATGGTACTGCCAATCCTCAGCGTGTCGGAGTGCTTTTTTTCAATATATATAGTCGCCAAGAGACTCCGGCACCAGAGCCCACTTCCTTCGGAGTCCTTCCGGCTATTGTTTACTCCATGGCATATCTTAGAGACTAACCAAGAGCAAACGTCTTGGAACAAGCTCTGATACACAATGTTTAAAAAATAGTACCGAACTTTGTAGCCATAAGCAAATTTTGGAGTCAGTAGTACCAGTGAAGAAGCTGTTGTACCATGGATGTATCCATTGCCCCCTCTTGAATTCGCGAGTGGATCCACTGAAATTCGCGATCCATATATAAATAACAAAAACGTTGGCGGGTAGTAGGCACGACCGCGGTGGAACAACTTGCTCGCACACTCGAAAGCCAGACGACATTTTTTCTTTTCGTTTCAATGTGCATGGTGTGTTGACTCGCAGACTTGCCGACCTCACATTGGATTTAATGTTCAGTGGAGTGGTATGTATATTTTCTTTGAACGGAAGACGGAACTTCGGAACTTGGTGTTTGATTGCCTAGGCTAAATTTCAAAGCAAAAATTCAAGTCTACCCAAATTGATTGTAATTTTTCTGTATTTTATATACATGAAAACTACCTCCAGTATTCATAAAACAATTGTGATATAAATATTAGAAAGGGTTTTTGAAAACTGTGACTCCCTAAAAAGTTTTTTTATGAAGTTTCTTTGACTGTAAAAAGGATTGGAACCGGGTGGTAAACAGGTTTGTAGTTTTAATTTCTTCGGATTATTATGGGATATACGAGCCCCTTCTCACTTCAGTTGGCCCAACTATTGCAATCTTAGTTTTTTTATCAAACACAAATAATAAAAATGTAGCAGGATGTTATAGGTTTAAAATATAACAAAGAATATTTTGATAATATATAGTAGAAACCACCAACTTTATCACTCCCTAATCAAATTTGCAGCATAAAATAACACATGTTGCAATTACAGCATATCAACCTATTTTCATTTCAATGCAAAATAAGTTTATTACGGAACTGAAAAATAAAAGCCATGACAATTGTTTTTATCAATCACAGCTGTCAGAATACGTTTAAAATAGTTTTGGGTAGTTAAGGTTTTCAAAATGGGTAGAGGAAAGGTTATTAGTGAGAAAATTCGGTTACTGATAATTAAATTTTTTAATTCTGGGAAATCAAACTCAGAAATTGCAACTTTGTTAGACTTATCGCGGTACAGTGTGAGAAATATTGTTAGAACATATAACGTAACTGGTTCAGTTAAAATTAAGCCAAGATATGTGAAAAAAAGTAATATTACAAATGCCGACCGAAGAGCATTAAGAAGAATAATCGTGAAAAACAGGCGTGTCAATTATTTACAATTAAGTGCTCTGTGGAGTGACGCTGTTGGAAGGAGAATTTCGAAACCAAAAAATAAAACACGCACAAACTTCGTTTCTTGACGTTTCGAAGGTCTCTGATTATTTTCGCAAAATTTTTTTGTAGAGTTCGTAAATTGGAGGTTAGGTGCTGCAGTGAGTGGAGGAGGGCATATCTCAATTTTTTCATGCTGCGTGATATCTATTTTTTTACAATTACCAACGTTTTGGCGTTTATTACTTGCTTTCTTCTAGGCTATAGAATGAGACGCAAAACACGCCACAAGGGATAACAAACGTTTCTTAGGTCAACTTTTAAAAACAAAAATGATGAATACAATATGAAAAAATGCCGTCAAGTAGACTTCCTACGCCTTCGTTGAAGTTTTCAAAGAAAATTCAAGTTTTTCTGTCGGTCTATCTGTTTGGATGACATTTTCACACAGGGTAACTAGCTAAGGACGAAGAAGCTTTGTGGTTTTTCAAAATCGGTCCAGTGGCGGCGGAGAAAAAGACCAAAAACCAAAACATAAAACACGCACAAACTTCGTTTCTTGACGTTTCGAAGGCCTCTGATTATTTTCGCCAAATTTTTTTGTAGAGTTCGTAAATTGGAGGTTAGGTGCTGCAGTGAGTTTAGGAGGGCATATCTCAATTTTTTCATGCTGCGTGATATCTACTGTTTTACAATTACCAACGTCTTGGCGTTTATTACTTGCTTTCTTCTGGGGTATAGAATGAGACGCAAAACGCGCCCCAAGGGATAACAAACGTTTCTTAGGTCAACTTTTAAAAACAAAAATATGAATACAATATGAAAAAATGCCGTCAAGTAGACTTCCTACGCCTTCGTTGAAGTTTTCAAAGAAAATTCAAGTTTTTCTGTCGGTCTATCTGTTTGGATGACATTTTCACACAGGGTAACTAGTTAAGTACGAAGAAGCTTTGTGGTTTTTCAAAATCGATCCAGTGGCGTCGGAGAAAAAGACCAAAAACCAAAAAATAAAACACGCACAAACTTCGTTTCTTGACGTTTCGAAGGTCTCTGATTATTTTCGCAAAATTTTTTTGTAGAGTCCGTAAATTGGAGGTTAGGTGCTGCAGTGAGTGGAGGAGGGCATATCTCAATTTTTTCATGCTGCGTGATATCTATTTTTTTACAATTACCAACGTTTTGGCGTTTATTACTTTCTTCTAGGCTATAGAATGAGACGCAAAACACGCCACAAGGGATAACAAACGTTTCTTAGGTCAACTTTTAAAAACAAAAATGATGAATACAATATGAAAAAATGCCGTCAAGTAGACTTCCTACGCCTTCGTTGAAGTTTTCAAAGAAAATTCAAGTTTTTCTGTCGATCTATCTGTTTGGATGAAATTTTCACACATGGTAACTAGCTAGCTTTCGGTTTCTCAAAATCGGCAGAGAAAAAGGCCAAAAACAAAGAAAATAAAACACGCTGATACTTCGTTTTTTGTCGGTTTAAAGGCTCCTGGTCATTTTCGGAAAGATTTTTGTAGGGTTCAGAAATTTAAGGTTTACTTGATGCCATTTTTTTAAAATAGGAACAGTCGGCCATTGATCTTTATCTGTAACAGCGCTTTCGACAAATTGAAACATGAGGTACCAGAAGGTTAGTAGATCATAAAATCACGTGCATTTATAAACATATTAAACATATACTAAGTGACATATAAATCCGAACACCCAGTTTAAATGGTTTTATTTTAATAAAATTTTGTATAAGTACTTAATGAAGCATAATAAGTAAATGATCAAAATTTCAAAATGATTGCACTGCTTTAAAGCCCTTTGACCTTTAATAATGTGTGGATGCACCCTAATGTGCTACGCATTCTCCAACGCGCCTAGGCATGCTTCTGATCAGGTGGTCCATGTCCTCCTGTGGTATCTCATTCCAGGCAACCACCAGCTCCTCTCGAAATGCTTCTAGAGTCTGAGGAGGACGTTGCAAATTGAGCAATCTCCTACCCATCATATCTCACACGTGCTCAATTGGGGATAAGTCGGGAGATCTTGGTGGCCATGGTAACAATGTGACATCATTATGTTGAAAGAAGTCTATTGTGACTCTTGCAACATGTGGTCGGGCATTATCTTGTTGGAAAGTTGGATCTGCCAGGGTGTCAAGATAGGGTAAAAGATGGGGTTCTAGAACTTCGTGGATATAACGCTGCGCGTTCGTGTTACCTCTGATGAAGATTAAAGGTGACCTGGAACCATAAGCTATAGCACCCCAAAACATAACTCCAACAGTGTGATGAACATGTCTTTCAACAGAAAACTGTGGATTCCTCCTTTCACCACGTCGCCTTCTAACCCTGGCACGACCATCGTGCATGCCTAAACAAAATCGAGACTCGTCACTAAAGACAATACTGTTCCATTCCTGATCCCAGAGTGAGTGACCGTTGTCTGCACCACTCAAGGCGATTACGTCGGTGTTCTCGAGTTAAAGGGAGGACCCAGTGTGGCCGGTATGAAAACAAGACAAAACTTCTCATTCGTCGGTAAACACTTCGCATGCCAATAGGTCTTCCGCATTTGCAATGGACCTGGTAGTGGAGAAACGGTCCCTTAAGGCCAATAATCTTAGGTGGCGATCTTCACGGTCTGTTGTTCTACGGCGGCGTCCAGTGCCCCTTGCTCTGTGCGTACGGCCTTCTCGAAGCCATGCCTGACAACACCTAACCACCGTGTCTACACTTCTTTGCACTCTAACTGCAATTGCCCGAAAAGAAAGTCCAGCTTCCCGAAGTCCCACTATACGGCCCCTATCAAACTCACTAAGTTGACGAAATCGTATAGGTCTCCGTACTCTAGGCATCGTAACCGATCGTAAAGGATGTCAAGAACCAAAATCCGCCAACGTTGATTCTTTACTGCGGCTGAAATAGTCATTTTTAGAGCGTTAGTGAATTAAAAAAAAGCAGTATAAAAACCGGAATATCCAACTGATAAGGCTGAAAATGTTTTCACTTGTTATTTACAATAAGATAAATACATTCACCAACTTTTATTAAAATAAAACCATTTAAACTGGGTGTTCGGATTTATATGTCACTTAGTATACATACATCTGACGCCTAACAAGCAATGCATATTCCTCCAATAAATAGCATCCAGTATCTGCAGAAAAGTAAATTCATGGCCGCGAATGTGTTTCTGGCCTTGCTAAACTTAAAAGTATAGGTCATTTAAAAATTGCAGGTGACTGAATTCTGCATCTTGTGGGATGTCGAATCAAGACTACTAAAATAGGAATACATTCAAACACTGAGACGTTCGATAGCATTTATAAAGATCAAAAGTTGAATTGTATTAATGTGATGCTATTCAAATTCCCGCATTTATAGTGTTTGTTTATATCAACAAATTTTGCAATAGTTCACGTGCAAGGTGACAGAAAACGAATACATGTTCCTCACTATCAATATTGTTGCAGTGTTTTCTTTGTTTTGTTCGTTAGTCATAGGTAAAAATGTGGTGAATCTTCTTATTGCATCTGGATTTTTTTTACTGGGGTGAGTTATTTTGTAATTAGAACGGAGCAATTGTTGTATGCATCTAGCATACAAGATGACACAAAGATGTAATTATATCGCTTACTATTAAAATGTATACTTCCAAGCATAGATCTTAGACCTGATCTTAGAATTCGGAACAAGCAGGCGCTTGGTTTTCACCCCTGCTTTCCTAGTTGGAATCCAAGGAAGCATGAGCATTTTGGAAATTTTCCAATTGAGACTCACTTGATAGAGCAACGGGATACGTATGGGAGGGGGGTCGTACACAACACACTAACACATACCATCTTCTTGAAAAAATGGCCACTTCGCGACCACCTCGCCCCCCTTGCATAAACACCATAAAAAATGCCAAACTTCTTATTCTACATGAAAAGACTTTCAAATGTTTAGTGATTTTTTACGATTGGATTAGGGTACCAGTATAAAAGCGAAGTTTACTTACTACGAGGGTGGACCCAGAAGTACCCGACCCAACGAAGAAAACACAAAATTTTTGTAAAAAATGTATTTATTTTTCAACATAATCTCCTTTGAGCTCTATACACTTTTCCCAGCGATGTTCAATAAGTTCGATACCCTTTTTATAATAAGAACTAACTTGCTCCTCAAAATAGCTATTAGCTGCCGACATCACTTCTTTATCGTTGGAAAATCTTTGACCACTGAGCCATTTTTTCAAGTTTGGAGGGGGCTAACTCTGGTGAATAGGGTGTATGAGGTAGCAATTCAAACTTTAATTCGTTAATTTTGGCCATTGCAATAACGGATTCGTGAGCTGGTGTATTGTCTTGATTAACACTTTCTTCTTAACCAAATGCGGCCGTTTTTGCTTGATTTCATCGCTCAAACGTTAAGTTCGCATAATACTCGCCGGTGATAGTTTTACCTTTTTCAAGATAGTCGATGAAAATCATCCCACGCGCATCCTAAAAAACGATGCCATAACCTTGCCTGCAGATGAAACGGTCTTCGCCTTCTTTGGAGCCGGTTGTCCCTTTTGAGTCCATTGTTTTGATTGTTCTTTTGTCTCGGTTGTGAAGTGATGGACCCATGTTTCCACGTTTCATCCATGGTTATGAAACGACGCAAAAGTTCTGCTTTGTTGCTGTGAAACTTCGCTAAACACTCAATTGAAGCATCTTCACGACACTGTTTTTGCTCGATTGTGAGCAATCGCGGCACCCATCTTGCACACAGCTTTATCATGTCCAAATTTAATATGCGATGAACCGCACTTTTTGAAATGCCTGCTAAAAAGGTCGCGCACTTTCAGTCGACGCTCATTCAGTACCGCTTTGTGAATTTTCTTCACGATTTCTGGAGTCGTCACCTCATTTGGTCGACCACTGCGATGCTCGTCTTGGCAGCTCATACGGCCTCGTTTAAACTCTGCTATCCAATATTTTTCTGTTGTAGACTCACCCAGAGTAGAATCCAGTTCAGCTTTTATATTGGTTGGGCTGAGGCCTTTGAAATAAAAGTATTGTACCACATAACGATGACCAATTTTCTCCATTTTCACAAATTCACTGAAAACGTTCAGTATTGAGGGCTGCCAAACAAATACTAAACAACGTGGCGTCTTCAAACTTGACACATATGCTTTATAGGTTGCATACTTTCTAATACAATGATATTTTTCAAACAACTATCGCCATCTCTACGTCAGGCCGGGTACTTCTGGGACCACCCTCGTATATAGCAATAATAATTATTAATAATAAATCGAATACGTTAAGAGACAAATCAGGAGAAGATTTTTATTATATGCGCCAAAGATTATGGCATTCATTTTTCGGTTACGTCATCAACGTCATATGAAATAAGTAAACAGATCGGTCTCCGTACCAAGAGCGGATCTCGAGCGCAGAGGTCGTGATATGTTGTCCTTTACCCAAAAGATTAGGCTTACAGAAGGTGATCACCATCTATCGGTACAGTTCACCCGTTCAGAGAAGCGATCTGGTAACGGCAAAAAAGCCACCATATTCATCAGACTTAGCACCTTATAATTTTCGTCCAAGTGAAGGAGTCATTACAAACGTAGGCGGATATTAAAGGGCTTCTAAAGAATGACTTTAGGAAGGATATAAATCAAATAGAGTATCGCTGAAAAATGTTTGGCTCAAGGGAGATTAGATTGAAGAATAACCGTATCAGTAGCGATTAACGAATGTTTTTTCATGTGGAGAAACTTCTCAAATCACCTGGCACTTTTGTAACCTATAGAGGACAGACAACAGGTACTCAGACAGAAAAATTGAAAGCCAGATAGTTTGACGTGACGGAATGTGAATGTGTTCAAAAAGTAAGGCAAATTTTGAATTGTCGCGGGCTAACTAATGTCGATAATATCGGCCATTTTGAATGTTCAGTCAGTTTTTGACAACTATTGTGCGTGGACGTGTTTTAGCTTGTCTCCGATTTTTGTCTATTCTAAAAAATGGATCAAAGAATTTGTATTATTTTTTTTGTAAAAAAAAAACAAATTGAAGAGCGCGGACATATTCCAAATGTTGACTGTTGCATACGACGAAGTTACTTTAGACTGTGCTTTAGACAAAAGCAACGTTTATCGGTGGTACAAAATGTTCTCAGAGGGCCGAGAAGATGTGAGCGACGAAAAGCGTTCCGCACGCCGAGCACGTCAACAACAGACGAAAACATTGATGAGTTCTTGCCGCAGGGTCAACGGTCAATAAGGAATATTACCTTCAAGTAATGCGCAATTTGCGAGAAGCAATCCGTCAGAAATGCCCGGATTTGTGGAAGAACAAAAATTGGCTTTTGCATCATGATAACGTCCCTGCTCATGCATCGTTACTTGTGCGCGAATTTTTGGCCAACACTCCAATAATGACTCACCCCCCGAATTCCCCAGAGCTGGCCCCCTGTGACAAGATCGCAAAAAATTATTTTTCAAAATGCTTCGAGGATTGGAAGAAACATTATCACAAGTGTATAATGTCTGATGGGGATTACTTTAAAGGGGACACAATTGATATTCATGAATGAATAAATAATTCTTGAAAAAACATCAAATTCGCGATATTGTTTGAACAAACCTCGTATGACGTCAAAAAATCGTAATATTTCAAATCAAATCTCGCTCTAGTAAACAAAAATCATAATACTTCAAATTCGAATCTTGTTTTATAGTATTCAATTTCCACGCTTATACGCGAGTAACAGCTTTAAAGCATTTGGGGAGGAAAAACCTTTAAAACAAATTAGGGATATTTTTAGTTCGAAGTATGGGATTGGCATCATACGAGTCAATGAATTTATACGTCTGTTCAGTGTTTAAGTGTGGGGATAAGTCAAATATTGAGAATTACAGGGCAATCTCTATATTATGCATGTTCTCGAAAGTCTTTAAAATAGTCTTGTACAGTCGCATTTACAGTCCAGCGTCAGCTGTCATTGCATCAACACGGATTTGTCGCTAATCGCTCAACAACCACAAATCTATTTATAATAACGCAGTACCTCTCGGAAGCCATTGATAGTAATGAGCAAGTTGACGTTATTTATACCGACTTTTCGAAGGCTTTCGATAAAATTAACCACAAAACTTTATTAAATAAGTTAGGTGCACTTGTTTTCACAGATGAAATTGATGAAATCTTACTTCTCCGATCGTAGACAATTTGTTAGCTATAATGGCTTCCAATCTGAGACCTACTTGGCACCTTCTGGAGTCTGGGTCCAACCTGGGACCATTACTGTTTTTGATATTTATTAATGACCTCTGTGACTCAGTTGAATGTGAACGCCTATGCTTTGCTGACGACCTAAAAATTTATTCGCAGATAAATATTCCTGATGATTGTATCAAGCTACAACACCAATTAAATTTTGCGCTGTCTTGGTGTGTAGAAAACAAGTTGGAGCTTAATGTGAGGAAGTGTAAAAAAGTCAGCTATACCGGGAAAATTAATGTTTGCGAATATCCGTACTCTATTGATGGGTCTGTGCTAGAAAGATGCTCTGATGTACGTGATTTAGGTATAATCTATGATCAAAAGTTAACTTTTAGTCAGCATATAAATAAAAAGGCATCAGAAGCATTGGCGGCTTATGGTTTAATAGTAAGGAATTGCAGGAATTTTCATAACATAAAGTCTATTAAGCTATTATATTATGCTTATGTTAGATCCAAAGTCGAATATTGTAGTATTATTTGGAGCCCTTACTATGAATGCTATAGCACAGCTATTGAAAGAGTACAACGGAAGTTTATGCAGTTTGTTCTGTTTAGGATTGATGGGACATATCCAGAAAGAGGTACAAGTAATGAGGAACTATGTAGTCGCTTAGACATGTCGACTTTGAAAAAACGTAGGTCCTGTGCCTCAATAATATTTGGCTACAAAATGATCAACAATTTAATTGATTGCCCCATGATCCTGGAACAGATCAAGTTTCGTACTCCAACGTTTGCATCTCACAATCATAAAATATTCGGGCTTCCTAGAACTAGGACAAACATTCTTCTCAAGTCACCGTTATATGTAATGTGCTCTAACTTAAACAGAATTGGATGTTACTGTGATATATTTACGACAAATGTTAATTACCTGCTAAAGGCAGCTAAGGCTTATTTGGACCAATAGCTCATGTTACAAATTTATACCTGTGTTGCATTTGTATTATGTTTATAAATTGTCCTATAAATGGGAAACTGTTGGACAATAAAGCTATTATTATTATTATTATTATTATTATTATTATACGTATAGTAAAAAAACTGAAATTATGTATATTTTAATATGAATCATAACACACCTGTTTCATTTTGAGAGATGACTCAAGTTGAAAGTTCAAATAATTTCCTAGCTTCGCTCCATAACCACATATTACCTTCATTATTTTGGAATCGTCTCATAGCTGTCATTAAAATTAAGAAGGCCTGTTAAGAAAAACCAATCACACAATCCGAATAATATCTTTCCGCTTTTCATTCATTCAACTTTACCAGTACATTACTGTTT